CTTCATGCCCCCCAACTTCACCGAATTTGCCGAAAGGATGGGGGCTTCGCTCAGTGAGGTGTCGGAAGCGGGCGCCTCCAACCCTTCCCTGCGGGATAAGCGGGAATCGAGCGCGATGCTCGCCGAGCGCCCGGGCCAGCCCGACCATGGCGAGCCCATGTCCGAATCGCTCACCTTGGAGCACGTCTCCAAGTCATCCGGCACGGCAGAGGCTCTGATGGCCAAGCAGTTCAGCGTGGATGGCTACAGCAGTCCCAGGGATGAGCACCAGCCCCTGCTGAGCGCCAGTGACGGCCACGGTGGTGGCAGGGACCTGGCCAGGGCTCACCGGCCCCCCAGTGCCACATGGCCACGAGCCAGGAAGAATTTCATCAGAGGAAACTTCAACGACGGGCGCCAGGAGACCCTGGAGGCCGCCGAGTCAGACTGCACGGTGGAGAACGTCAACCTCTCGCCGTGCCTCAGCGAGGAGCTGCTGGATGCGGGGCTGGATATTCTCATCACCTCCAATCTCAGGGAGAAGACGGAGTCTGAGCTGAGATTTGAGGAGGACGAGCGCTGGGTGATGATGGAGGAGTGGGAGGAGGCGACGCTGTCAGAGAGAGGAAAGGCTGTTCTGGTGGCAGAGGAGAAGAAGAGCTGTTGCTTGGCAGATATTTCTGAAGAAAAGGAACAATTTGCTGCTCCGGTGGATGGCTCTGCCCCCAGCCCGGGGACCTCCCTGTCCTGTGCGACCCCAGGGGGTGCCAGCAGCCCCCTCCCCAGCAGCGGCTGCTGCACGGAGGATGTGGCGGTGCAGTGCGAGGCTGAGGACTTTGCTCCGTGTTCGGAGCGCTCGGCCAGCCCCGCCAACCCTGAGTTGTCCGACACGGACTCAGTGCAGATGTTCTTGGAGCTGGAAGAGCAGTGCCTGAACGAGGACGATGGGGCTGTCCCTGGCCACGGGGAGGTTCAGGTCTCCCCGATGGACTCGGAGGGGCTGGACCCAGATTCGGCCAAACTGGCCGGAGTGGTGGTTGAAGGATGTCAGCGCACGGCGCCTTTGGACGTCAGCGCTTCGGACTCTGCCGTCGTGTCGGATCTGGAGGACTTTGACGGCACCTGCAGCTCGCAGGTGCTGAGCGCGCTGGAGCCAGCGACGGAGCCCTTTTCAGAAAGGGACACCTCGGCCGTCACCCCGACGGACTCGGACGGAGGGGCCTCACCCAGCCCTGTGGCCATGCTGGGGCCAGGCCCTCTCCAGCAGTGCTCTCCAGCCCCGGTGGAGGATGACCCCGACCCACTGCTGGAGCCGGAGCTCGAGCCCATGGACGGTTGCGGGGTGGCGGTGCTGATGGCCGGGGGGATGCCATCTCCTGACATGAGTGCGTGTCCAGCCTCTGGCTTGGAGGAAACCAGTTACCCCAGCGCTCCAGAGGGTTGGGGTGAAGATAACCAAGACTTGGGGGTCCCTGATGCTGAAGTATCACAGCTCTCTGAGGAGACCTGTCCTGGCCAAGTGTCCCCATGCCAGTCACCAGCTCCTGACACAGTGACAGAGGAGCCTGGGTCCCCTCCGCAGCACCACGAGGCTGGCGTTGAGGGGACAGATTTATACAGGACCCATCACCTTCTGCCTGAAAGGACTGAGCTCCCTACCTGGGATGTCCCAGAACTGGTTTCTGAGGATGAAGCCGCAGATCTGGGGTCAGAGAGTGATGGAGCTGAGGGCCAGACTCATGCGGCAGAAAGTGGGGATGCTCGGTGTGGTTCTCTGCTGCCTTTCCAAGCCTGCTCTGCATCAGAGCCGGGCTCTGAGCCTCCTACAGCATCCCCGGTGCCTGCTGAGGGCCTCCCATGGGAAACCGCTCCCCTGGGTCAGGGCCTGGCTCTGGAAGGGGCTGTCTGTGCCGAGGGGTCCCCTATGGAGGTGACCGTCACGCACAGGGAGGCACCGGCAGCCGTCCCGCAGCCGGGAGACCTGGACCTGCTGTTCACCTGCATTTGGGAGGACCGGCCGGTGGTGCAGTGCCATACCAAGGGCAAGGGGGTCCTGCTCGCTGCCAGCCTGGCTGCTCCAGAAGAGCTCCCCAGCACATTGCCCATTGTGGGGCACCCCGATGCCATCCCATGGGATGTTGTGGGGCTTCCTGCTCCAGTCATCTCACCAGCACCAGGGGATGTGGCTATCCCAGAGCCCCAGGAGATGCCACCGGCCGCTGGAGATCCTACCATGGATGCTGAGGAGCCCTGTCCTGAGCATCCGCCTCCAGATGCCACCACCACTGCCATGCCCTTGGTGGTGGAAGAGCTGCTGGATGCCCCTCCGCCGTTTGCAGACGCGCCTGTGGCCGACCCCCTCGTCTCTGGGGTTGGGGATCTCGGCGGGGGCCC